CCCCCCCCCCCCCGCGTAAATTTCTCGCGCAGGAGCCCTGTTTCTCACCAACGTCGACTTGCTGTCCTTGTAGTTGTCCGGCTCCACGAAGAAGTTGCGCAAGGGCGGCACGTGTGCAAGCGCGTGCAGGACCACCTTTGGAGTCGTGGTCAGGAGCGGGCGACAGCAGCAGCAGCAACAACAGTTGCATATATCGGCGTCGATATCGCGCGGTGTACACGGCGGGGATGGCATAAGCCTCGCCCTCACAACAGAACAGCAGCAGCAGCAGCAGCAGCAGTAGCAGTAGCAGCAACAACAACAGTCATGCGGCAGTGGCCCTTCAGCGAAGCGGAAAAGTCAGAAGCCTGTCGCAATGATTCCTCACGTTCACGAAGTCCGTGCACTTGAGGTTGTTGAGCCCCACGAATCCCGGCAGGTAAGCCACCCCGTACTGGTCCCTCGACAACGTTGTATTCTGCGGCGCCCCCAGGGACAACGTCCAAGCGGAGCAGCGGTAGCAAAATTGGCATGCAAGGGGGGCAGGGTAGGGTAAGGGGAGCCGAGGTTTGGAAGAGCAACTACGAGCACCGACGAAGCTGAACGGGTCATCCCCCTCACACCCTATTTCACGCTACCGGAATACATCAAACATGGATTACCCGCGACTGACCGGTGTAGATAAGACCTGCAGAACCCTTGGCCTAGAACACGAAACACCCGCCACTGACCGGCGTAGACAAGACCTGCAAACCCGCGGCCTACAGCAGCTGAACATGAACCACCTGGCACCCATGACTACAAAATCAAGCAACGGTATAAAAAAACAAGAAGTATTGCCATAATCACGCGGCGCTCCCGTTTTTCCAGTGGATGGGTCGCGATCACCTTGTCGAGGGCGGCGATGCACTCCGGAGAATACCTCGGGTCGAGTGCCCTCTTGATGTCCTCCAGGGACGAGTCCACCACCTCGTACGAGTCCGGGAGGCAGTACACCCGGCAAGTCCGCAGGTTGATAAAGACGTGGTGCCCGTTCTGCACGCTGTGGGTGTAGGCGTGAGTGTTGCGGCCCCTGCCCTGGAAGTACTTCCCGCACACCAGGCACGCGTACACGTTGTTGTTCGACAGGGAGATGCTGCACAGCTGCGCGGGAGAGAGCGAGAGGAAGAGGAGGAGACACGAGGGTTTGGCAACGATTGAGTTAGGCGGGGACACGGGGCGGCAGCGGAGCGTTGCGACGTGTTGCCGGGAGGAATAGATCCATGGATGGTGTTGGCAGAGGGCTCGGGGATACTTGGGGGAACATTGGCAGTGACTACATCGGGCGTCGGACGTGGGAATGAGGGGGAGAGAGAGAAACAGAGACACAGAGAGACAGAGAAACAGACAATCAGGCAGAGAGGGAGAGAGAGGGGTAGAGAGAAAAGGACACAGGGAGGAAGAGAGAGAGAGAGAGAGAGAGAGAGAGAGAGAGAGAGAGAGAGGGAGAGAG